TAAAGATGGCGGATTTCTAGCGCGATTAAAGGTATGTTGGCGCTCTATTTTCTGCCACGTTTTAAAGTTTAAACTTTTTGTTTTTTATTAAAAAGGAAGTTACATGTAATATTGTTATGCCGTGTTACTTTTCAAATCGATAATTTTTGGAATTCGATAAAAAATATCATTTGATTGTAAACTCGTGTATTTTTCCCAAATACACTGGTGACTGGTCCATTTACTTTTACATGTCACAGCTTAACCGTTCACACATCACATTTAAAATTGCAATTGGCATAATCTATGACCATTATTTGTGACCATATTTAATAGCGCCCCTTAGCGCCCCTCAATATTGTATATTTTTTGGTCTTTTATCTCATGATATTTCCTTTGCTAATTTTAGGTCTTCTTGTCCAGAGTTCATGTTCTCCCGCTATTTTGGGGAAGCGTTCGTGCATCCCAGAGTCCCATACGCCAGGCAAACAAAAAACAAAGCGGCAACGAAATAATAAACGCAAAAGAAAAGCAAAAAAAATTTCAAATGGAAAAAATAATTGTGTCAAAATGAGCAAGACACAATACACAATACACAATGGCAGACTGTTGGACAACCGAAGAACAGACTTAATGGGACTGTTTCATATTTGACAAGATCAATGACTGTCTGGTGGTGAAAAACCATTTGTGCTTGTTGGAACCGTTTCTTGTAGTCAGTTGGAGCAAATGGCAATGACTGGAACACGTTTAAATAATTTTTGTTCTCACAAGCAATTTTCTTAGCCTTATTTATGCCAATACCTCGGATATTTTCTATGTAGTCACAACCAGCTGCAATACACATATCAGTAAACTTTTCCTTGGTTAATTTTAGATGTGTTAAAATTTTTGCCATTTCCACCAAGTTACCCATACCATTTGTTTGTAGCTTAAATGGCACCTGAAATATATGACATGTATACTGTAGTCCACATTGCTGCAAAATGCCTTACCTACGGATGTAATAATACAGATAGTGTCTCGCACAAATAGTGTACAGCATTATACCTGGGCATTCACCAAGTCAATGTTGAAAATAATAGTTCTGTGTAAATTTTACCCCACCCAGGCCAGCCGATATTTAGAAGCAGGACACCCATGTCAGCAGTTTCGCACAGTGTATTAATTATGTTATGGTATGAACTACTTTGCATATGTATTTGAACTGCCAGGCTGACCTGGTTCCCAATCTGATAAAACTTTCTCCCTATAAACACAAACTGGGCTGGTGTGGATGGAAGTTCTATGAATGCTGCTGTGAGGTATGTAGAAAAACTGTTAAAACACTGTAAACCCACTACACTTGTGCTGTTTATAAAGCATATACAATCACAACAAATTTGTTATTCATATATTTTATAACACTTCATTGAACAATGTTTTACTAAGTCTATACCTGCATACATGACCACCATCATCGAAATGCAAACAAAAACATCCCATTTTATACAACAATTATTATACAACAACATGCTAGAATCCATGTATTAGCATTAACATCACACTGATATAGAGCATTTGCACATGACATCACAGCCGCCATGTTGGTGTTCCAATTCAAAATAATTTTAATTAGACTCTTGTCTGGAACACCAACATGGCCGCCATGGCTTTTGTTGAGTTGGTCCCTGGGGAATGAGTGCAAATGCTCTATACAAGCAGGTCCTAATCTTAACACACTGCAAAACCACAGCCTCAAATCAAAGTGCTTGGGACAAGGCTGGCAAAACCAGCATATCCATTATTCACAATAAATGCAATTTCTGGATCTGCTTCATATGGTGCCATTATGTACTGAATATCTTTTTCACAGCAAAGCTGAAAGGTGGATAATAACAAATTGTTATTTACTGCACACAACTACTTTCCAATTTACTCTATAATTTTTTATGCATTTGTACATAAAAAGGGTGTCGTTGAAAAATGGGAATTTGAATTTTGCAAAATAAATTGATCAAATGTCTGATTAGCAATGTATTGGCATGGATTATAAATTGTTGTGACATTCCTGTGCACCAATAAAATGTAAATTCTGGGGAGGGGTATGGGCAAGGTGTGAGGATTTGGATTTTTTTTTAATTTTGGGTAAATTCTAGTGAGTGGAAGGCATACAAAGTTCTTGAAAACTAGATGTGAAAACTAGTATGTGGTTCAATTTAAACCACATCATTTTTCTTACTCTCCATATATTGGTATGCAAAGCGTTTTCCTGCCAGCTGCAAATTGCCATTGCAATGACCTTTTATTACTTAGATGCTATTTATATGACCTTGGATACTAGAGACACCCAATCCACACGAGACAACTTCACTGCATGTTTATATGAAAAAAATTTATAGCCCTGGCATTGTATCTCTTCCTACGAGAATGGCTCTAAGTATGAGATTGTGACTCCTGAAACATGCAGTTATTTGTTTGAAGGCCTGGGAATGAAAAGTTATCCCTGGAGGCCGAGACAAACTATTTACATGGACTGTTTTGTAAACAGGGTGTCCCTACTGCCAGGGTGACCCTACCAGCCGAGACGAAAACTTTCCATATAAACACTTGCGTTTAAATGTTATATAATGAATATAATTTTGCCTCTCCCAACCCGAGATCATATAAACAGCACCTCATCTCTTTTCAATGTTACATTATATTTACAATATTTGTGATACCAAAAATTGAATTGGCATGGCATATATGATTTTCATCCCATAGTTTTAGGTAAGATTGTGTAGTCAAACTATAGAAATTGTGACCTATGATGGCATTAGAAGTGCTAAAATGATGGGCAAATTCTAAGCATAACTAAAATTACATGGAATTTTACAGATACTGTACTGAGCATATAACTGGCTTGTATATTGCATTAAATTAAACAATATAATGTTGCAGAAAAATTTCCGTGTCTATGCATACTTTTACCGTATGTCCACAACCCTGAAAAGTTTGCATAATAATTATAATAACAATACAGTCGTAAGAACAATAAAGTAAATAGAATATACATAAGTTTAGCGATTGAAACACTGCACAAATTGATAAGTAAACATATAAATAAAAACATACTTGCGATCATCGCCAAATCTTTGAAACTCACAGCCAACGCTTTGTGCAGCCAGCAGGATGCATTGACTGCACAAACTTTTCCTGAAGTTCTTTGACATGTACTGCCACTGTTGATTCTTTCAAGAAGGGCAAAAGACACTTTTAATATACCCATCGCTCGGCCGTGCACAGTGTTTTCACCTCGAACGTCAGAACGCAAATGAGTGAATTTTTTATTTTACTCATGATGCATTGCGGTCGCAGTGCGCACACCGCCTGATATGTTCTCTAATTATATTATGTTATTTATGTCCTTGGAAGTGATTCAGCCAAAAAAATACTGTCCAACCCACATTTTCCCATTTTTGGCCCGGACACCTTGTTTGACAAATGTCGTCAAACATCCGGAAAACTTTGAATTTTCAGAAAACTTTTTTCGCAGTCAATGACGGCAGAGGAAAAATATCAAAAGTCATGAAAGCACAGGCAAATGGGATCATTTGTTCAGGAATGACGGATAGATATTAAAATCGGTATTAACACTATTTTTGTATTGAAACAAACAAATTTTGTTTCATACCCTCTCTTTAAAGTGATAAATTTATTTCATACCCCACCCAGATCCCTGAAAAAAATTTCATACCCCATCCCAATATCCTCCGCCCCGGGGTAGCACTTACTTTATGACCGCTCCCTTAGTAAGACCTTCACGATATTCGTACGACTTGTTAAATTCGTGAAATTTCACGACTTGTCGCATTCAACAACTCGTGAAATTCGAAAGTCGTGATTCACGACTTGTACTTTACCCAGTAGACTACTGATATAAGACCACGAAATTCGTACGACTCGTTAAACTAGTGAAATTTCATGCCGCGCAAGTGACACCAGTTATAATTGTGAATCTTCATCTCAAATATATAGCCTATGGCTATATGTTCATTCCTCCTCTTCAAGACAAAAGTAATTCTTCAGTTGTATGAATATCTGAAATGTATACATGCATGTTCATGCCTCGTTCTTTATTACTTTAAAAATCTAATTCAACGTATAATAGCGCGCTAATTATAACTAAAACATTACTGTATATAATAATTTTATAGTATTGTCTCGTCAGGAATTATATTAGTCAAGCAAAATATTAGCTTGCAGCGTATAATTGTCATTATAAATGATGAATATATTAAATCACGCAAAATATTACAGCGTAATGTTCTTCCAAATATATATGTTCATTCCTCCTTCTTCAAGACAAAAGTAACTGTTCAGTTGTATGAATATCTGAAATATGCATGTTCATTCATATCAGTACTAATTTAACGCTCAGTATAGGGACTCGCGCGCCGGAATTATACTAAACTCATGCAAACTGATATTAAACGTTATTGTTATTAATTATAATAACAGATTATGAATCTTTTCTTCTCCATTATTGCTCAGAATTTTATGACATTACGTGTACATGTACCCAAAAGTTGCCTGGTTGTTTTGCTGTAGATGAAAGTTAAGGATGGATGTAAAAAGTTGTTAAAATCCACCATTTCATCGCTCTTGCATTTTAGCAGTCTTCCTGTTGTAGTTCAACCCCCCCCCCCCCTTGAAACCAAACTTTTACTATAAATACGTCACAACTGAACTGTTTACTTTTTCAACCATTGAATCACATATTTTTTTTGAATATATGACGAATGAAATAACCTCTAGCATCCGGCATGGAGACAACAAAATTTTCGCCAGACCATGAAATGTTTGTGCAAATTTTTCAGCTTTCTTGCAGAGTTGAAAACAAAATTTATGTGCGGGTATATAGAAAAATTATCAGATGTGCTATAATTTTTTATCATGTTTTATTTACGTTGCGAATTATTTGCGTTTTGCCGAAGTCGTGTATTCGCCAGTTGAGATATAGTTGCCAACCTTAGGGATATTCTATATATATATCAAACTCATTAATAATTCATGAGCAAATTAGCGAATGAACTCACCCTAATTCGTCACATGATTGAGGTTGGATACCGCAAGGAAACACGCTAAAAATCATATACCATCACTGTTGTTAGATGAAAAACGGTTTTCATCTAATAACTGAGATCCTAATTACAAATTCAAGTCAAAACACAACAATATACTATAATAATATATATAAGCCAATGAAATGTTTTCGTTTGAGATGTTGTCTAAACAACTCGTTTCTCGTGTTTCATCAGGGGACCAAACACTCGAAAACAATAAAACACTCGCGCTTCGCGCTCGTGTTTCATACAGTTTTCTCGTGTTTGGATCCCCTGATGAAACACTCAAACTCGTTGTTTACATATAACATGAACAATGCTTTTCATTGAGTGCTTGCGGAGCGCGACAAATGGCAGAGGAATGGGGCGAGCTTAATATAAATTGACATCATTCTCGTACACAGACTCCCAGAGCCCTTCTTCGGTGAATGGAGCGCGACGAGGGGCTCGGGCCAAATCCATATCAAACTGGCATCTGATTGGCTACAACAAAGGTTATTGTTCTAATACCGGATATATTCTTTTACCATGTTTTTATGGTATCCGGTTTTGGATTTGGCCAGAGCCCCTCGTCGCACCGCGCGTAAAGGCCTGATTCCACGGGCGCTTTTTCTTGGCGAAATGCGCAATATTTCGCCTGTTTCTTTTGAATTGTGATCAATCAAGTAGAAATAATTTATTCGAGTAGTCGCAATTCAAAAGAAACAGGCGAAATATTTCGCATTTCGCCGAGAAAAAGCGCTCGTGGAATCAGGCCTTAAGAAGGGCTCTGTGTGAATGAAATTGACATTTGGAAGCATTTGGTGCATTCTACCAGATTCTACACGCCGTTTTGGGCTGCTATGGTCACAGAGACAAATCCACAAAACACCGTAAACTTTCGTAAATTTATCAACATTTAAAGCTGTACTTTGACAAAAAAAAACGTTACAGACAGGTTAGTAAAATTATCCTTGTTTATATTTATGTTGTTTTTAGGGCTACTTTCTTTCTGCTTTTTAAAATACTACAGATATTATATCTGTGTGTAGTTCAAACAGTTCAAACACCTTGCCAACCTTAAGTATACTTTATAAGAACTATACTGACGTCAGTTCGCCGATACTCGATAGTGCAATCGGGTTGAGATTTTAATAATATAAGCTACATTTCGCAATATATTTCGCTAAATTTGTGATTATTTTCGTTAAATTTATAATTTCACTGCAGTTTTAATTTAAATTCAGCCGTTCAGTGGACTGCCTATGCAAAAAACCGTTAATTTCAATTCACATTTAAAAACGTTTTAATACGTAGAGTTACGTTTCGAAATTTACATTAAAATATGAAACCAAAATAATATACCTACTTTATACTTTTAATACCGTACCGCAAGTATTTGATGGCGTATGTTCTGAATGTTTTTCCGTTCTTTTATTGGCGTGTCTTGATGGCGTATGCATGTATTCAGTGATTACTCCGGCACGGTAAAGTGCAAAATTTCCATATATTTTAGAAATTGATAGTTCTGTATTTAAAAGTGTGCAAGTTTCATCTATTTTTGCAGGTTTGTACAAAAAATTTAAAAAACAATTATCGTCATATCGTCACAGAATAAGGCACACAGAAGGTCGACTCGAGTAACCGCTGCCACGCCATGCTGACGCCATGGTCCTAGCTAGTGCGCGTTTGAGAGGCATCCCCCCCCCCTGGACGTCCACCCATGTTGAATAATATCAGGGGGTGAATGCCTCTCAAACGCGCACTGGCTAGGACCATGGCGACAGCATTTGATGACGATTTACGGGTTACGCCAAAATCATAGGAAAATCATATTATAAAATAACATGTATATAACGCGTATTCTGATTGGTCGAAAGCCGTGTTTGGATCAGGCCATCCAAACACGGAAGACTACCATGTTGTTGTTATTTTATAAAACAATTACTTTATGGTTTCCGTGTTTGGATGGACTGATCCAAACACTTGGGAATGTTGCTCGAGTTAAGAAAAGCGGGCAAAATCACTCGCCTTCGGCTCGTGATTTCGCTCGCTTTTCTTAACTCTCGCAACATTCCCGCGTGTTTGGATCAGGCCATCCAAACACGGAAACCATAAAGTAATTGTATAGGAAAAACCAAGAAGTCGGCCTTTTGTGTACCTTATTCTGTGATATCGTGTTGCCATGACTAACATGACGTGAGCAACGCGAGCCTGCGTTCAGTGTTGGCGTAATTGCGAATACTTCATGTTGAAACAATGATTGGAGAATATAGGCGAGGGGGTGTTGCATGCATGTATATTTCTAGTTTAGATAATATCTGTGTTAATATGAGAAGACTCTATTTTCTTAGACCTACCAGTTCCGGTAAAAACATAGAGTTGCTTGGTATTTGCTTTTGCCCAATCCTTCACTACCTCTTCCATTCTGGCCCAATTATAGCCATTAAATTTTTGCCACTGCGGAGCTGCGTTAGTAACAATGAATGTGAGGTCTCTCTCATCATCGCTGTTGAAATCTCCCTTCGGAGTTAGATGTCCTCTGGAGCAAAAGTAATTCTTGTTGTCCCAGCTAGGATTATCGGTGATTTGCTGATTAGAACCAAAATCACCGGCGAGTGCCTGTTTCTTCGGTGCTTAAAGAAGATCAAATCAATGAATTGGTCAACTAAATAATTTTTGTAAAAGAGTACATGTCTAGTATTGGCACCATTTTATTTTAATAGATTTGCCTTACTTTTTCATTGCAGTAACTGATACAGATTGTTATTTATGAATCATATTATGTTAAGCATATAAAGCAGCTGACATACCATATTTCGGCGGTCCATTATCTTTTCTCCAGTCAGTATACTTTTTAGGCTTGGGTACATTAGCAGGCCAAGTTCCAGCGGGCACAATATGAGCTGTAAATTCCGGTATTAATGCCTTAGTGTTGTAACATGAGATAAACTGAGCCGTAGGCCGTTTTGCATTTAGGCCATAACACAATTGGCTATAATAGTCAGTCCAGAACCATGATTTATAGCTACAAAGTTCTGCAGGTAACCTGTCCAGAATTCCAGCATTTTCCCACTGTCCAAGCATACATCTTCGAAAGTCGTTATCGAAGGCGTTACCTTCGTTTTGCATTTTCTGGTTGGCTCGAGCGACTGCGTTCTCTTCTTTTAAAGCTTGTTTTCCTGTTTTTGTAAAAGTAGAATTAAACAAAATCCATGGATCTATAACAAAAAGCTTTAATCATAAAACAAATTGTCCTATTTAACCACGTACAAGACTTTTATACCTGATAAAAGCCATGCATACTAATCAGCATGAAGATTCATATAATGTCCTACGAAGATTATATAAAGTTCCTGCTAATTAGCATTTTATACATCAAGCATTGTTCTGACTTAATGAAGCAATTCAAAACACTCGAACTCGCGTTTTATCATACCTTAAAAAACTCATTAATAATTCAGGAGCAAAACACAAAGAAAAATCATACTAAGCGTGTCGTATCTTTATATGTGATAAAAAATCATGTTAATTTACATAAACTTTAGCTTTGATTTTCTCGGTTTAGACAAAGTTTATTTTAAAAATTACTTCGCCAATGAACTCATATAAGATGAGTCGTTTTTAAGCCATTTAAAGCACTTGTAGTCGTGTTTTATCAGATATAAAACGCTCGGCTGTGCCTCGCGTTTTATATCTGATAAAACACTCCTACGCGTGCTTTAAATAGTACTAAAACTCTCATAAAACGCTCTTCGTGTTTTAAATACTACTTTAAAAAGTGCCATTGCATGCAACGAAACTTTACTCATGCATAATTTTTTACAACATTGGTACATTGATCTAAAAGTATAATAAATAATATAATTATTAACTCAATCTTCACCAGAAGTTTCTTATTTTTGTCCAATCTTATAGGCCCGTTTTTTGACGGCAATTTTTGACGGCACGTCATGAGCTTAGCGAAGTAAGCAAGCAATGCGAGATCAAACCTATAAGAACCATTATGATTATAGTGTACATGCACTGATACAATAAGAATAATTGAAGGCACGGTTTCACTCATAAACGAGAGTTTTCCGAAACCTCATGATGCAATGTGATGTCTTAAGTGTGATGTTTGCATATCAAACAACGTTCACTATATTTTAAAGTGTATATGATATCAAATTTCTTATTTTTGTGAATGAAAGAACTCTTTAAGCTGTAGTGTAACTTATTTTTCAGCTTCTTTTTTTTATGGTTTCTTCCCGAGATATTTCAATTTATTTGATATGTAAATGAGTGTGAATATGTCCGCTAATTTATGACGTCATGTTGGTTGCAAGCTCCTCAAAATGGTTGAATATCACTGCTATTCGTGCAAGACGATAATTTCAAACTTTACTCACTGGAAATGTGATAAAACACTCGAGAAAAACGTAAACTGATATCTACAGTTTTTTAGAGTTAATAGATTTATAACCATTGTAATTTGAGCTTGCAACCAACGTGACGTCATAAATTAACGGACATATTCACACTCATTTACATATCAAACAAATTGAAATATCTCTGGAACAAACCATAAAAACAAGAAACTGAAAAATAAGTTACACTACAGCTTACAAAATCTCTTGTCTCATAGACCAATCAGATTTACATCCGAAATATGGTTGTACGGCATGGACTTTTGTTAAGGTTTGTATCACAGTATCAGAGCTTAAAGAGTTTTTTTCATTTAAGAAAATTCATGTCATATACACTTTAAGATTGAAGAATTACAAAATTCTGATATATATTTATATTATATTTTAGAAGCCTCGCATCCAGAGCCGCCGCCGTAGCTAGACACGATAATTGGGGCTGCACAGGGTGTATAAAAAAAGCGCAATCCTCGACTGAAATGTAAATTGCTAAACAAATAATAGACGAAAACGTTAAAGTTTACATTCATTTTAAAGCGTAGCCATTCCGCTTTCTAACAGTGGGTTGTTTCTTAAATTTGACTCATTGGTTCGCAGGTAATAATACTTTACGTTATTGCGATTGGAGATTAAAAAAATTGAGATGGAATAACTAAACGTGAAATGAAATGAAAATAACTGATTTTTTCATTAAAACAAAAAAATGTTGCATTTTATTAAATGGATTGTAACAATAAGTATAATTACGGCTTTTCTTCCACTATTTTTAACTCAGTTTGAAACTTCAAATGCGATATAATTTTGGCTTGGACCATCTAAGCTGACTGACATCAACTTGCTATAATTTCTGTTTACATTACATCGCAATGTCTGGCTCGGACAGCAGAATGTTTTGACGATTTTTAGCATTCGTTTAGGATTATCAAACAACCTGGTCTCTTTTAAAATACTTTTAATTTGTTCTTATATACGTGGTTTTCCAGATGTAGTGACGACAACATTAAAGTTTAAAGAAGAAAATTCTAACATTTAAACCGACTAAACAATAACATAGTAAACTTGCATAATTAAACAGCAACTAAAAATGATAGGTTTAACTAAATCTTTTCCTGTGCAATTATTACTAGCATTGGAGACAAGGATAATAGTTTGTCTGAAAGAGAAAAGAACAGGCTTTGAAGTAAGCCTAAAAGCGTTTAACTAGAGATAGTATTTCGAAAGTTATTAAGCACAAAAGATGAATTGCGTTTATTTTGATACACCCTGTATATTCATGTTCACATATCACCATAAAAATAGGCACTCGAGGAGTGCGTAAGAATTTGCAATTTTGTTGTCAATTTTATAATGCAAGAAAGATGGGAAAATATCGGCCAGTTTAAACGCCGCTGCATGTGTACTATTCTTGTGAATTATGATGTCCAACACACCGGGTAACAAAATTTACCACTTTGTTCGGCTGTTCCAAGTACACTTTTAAGATACAAGGTCCGATCATATCATGTTCTTCGAAGCATCTGCTCAAAACAGTCCAACATAAATATCGCCACTCATCTTCTTCGTATGAAAATATAAGTTTTTCTTTCAATTGCTTTGCTTTAAAAACAGTCATTAAGTTGTTGAAGAGTTAGCCTAGAGCTTCCAACAAAAAAATCCAGATGCTTTCAAAACCCAGTGAATCACAATGCTGTAAACTTCAACATCTATGCTTGCCCGAAGGGGACAAAATTACGAACATGTACATATCATTTCCATTACGCAAATATCATTTTCATAAATCGTCAAAGTCGAGAACTAATTCGTCGAAGTCCAGTTGAAATTTGTTGAAGTGGAAGTTGAAATTCGTCGAAGTGGAAGTTGAAATTCGTGGTCGATTGGTCGAAGTCGACAAACAAATCGCCGAAGTCGAATGCTAAAACATTTCTTCGTCCAGTATGATAATTTTTTATAATGTCTATAATATATACTGAATACATCACAATTATGCAAATAATTATGTCGAATCGAATGCATGGAAATATTAGACCTAGAAAAAATTGAAAACAAAAATGCCCTTATAAATCCGCCATGTTGAATTTGAGTGCCTTGAGTGGGAGTGCAAACTACCAACTATAAACAAAGCTAAAAAGTATAAAGTTTTCATCGTCAAAACGTTTTGTATTTGTAGTTTGGGGATAAAATTTGACTAATATTAAAGGGGAAGTCAAGTCCGTAATGTAAACAAACGGTTTGTTTACATTTTGAACTGCTGTATTTTTTAAAATATGATGTATTGTCGGAATATCTAACACCATTTTGATTCGCTATGCTTCTAAATGAATATGAAATAAAGTTTATGTTCAGAAAAATTCGAAATTTGGGCAATGTTCACATTAGAGGTCCTCACATTGTTATGCGCAGAACCGATGCGCAGAACGGACTTGACTTCCCCTTTAAGTTCTATTATTTCTATGATCGAATGCAACCATGATGCAACAATTATAATTTATTTTCTTTTATAAATTATAAAAAATATTTTGCCGTGCTACTTCCGCCGGCCTTAATTTACTGTATGTTCAGGGCGCGAAAACGTACTAAATCGAGGTCTTATATCAAGCGATTTCAAGCATGGCGAGCGCTCGTCAAACACCCGAGGGTATACATGGTTTACAAACATTAGTTCGAAATATTGTTTCTGATATTGTTGGCGAGAATAGCAGTACTTCAGGAACAGGAAATGCAAATTTACTGCCCTCAATTGTCAAATGTCGGTCCTGTCGATGGTCAAAGCAGCGTCACAGAGGAGAGATACACAGAGAGGAAACACGCGGCAAATTATGTCACGCCGATATATTCAGTCTATAACTATAGAAAATTATATTAATTCACTATTTTATTAAATTTTGACCATGCAGGGGAAAAAACTATACATATAATAGAAGTATTCATGGTTTTTTTATGCAAGAGTTATATTTTGAGGAATTTATATCATTCGCTGCTTTGTTTTTTATATATGAGCATCTGAAACTCCAGCCAGTGCTTTTCACGATTTTAATAAGGAGTAGATAGGAAAAAAACAAACTTTTGCAAAATAAAATGTTATGTTAACACTTTTAATAAAAGGAAATCGATAAAAGAGGGGGTCCCAATCCCATTTCCCATCTGAAATTTTGGCAAAATCCCAGTCCCAGTTGGATTTTTATTAGAAATCCCAGTCCAAGTTATTGAAATCCCAGTCAATAAAAAAAGCGTTATTTAGGGACGGACCATTATTTTTTTGGAGGGGAGGGGATGGAAAATTCTTTAAAAAATTGTTTGGAAAGACCAAAAAGTGCAAATAAATTGTTTGCACACATAAAGAAGAGCAAAAAATAGTTTGCAAGCTAATGAGATTATGCAACATCAACTAACGTTTAATAACAATGAACAGAGCGCTCACCGACATACCCAGGATCTTCACCCCAAAAGCCCTGGGATGGGAGACGCTGGGCACATGTCGCAATCTACATATGGGTTATAAAGACTATAAATATTAATCTATTGAATACAAGTCATTTTTTGGGTTCTTTTTTTCTTCACCCCAAAAGCCCTGGGATAGGAGACGCTGGGCACATGTCGCAATCTACATATGGGTTATAAATATTAATCTATTGAATACAGTCATTTTTTGGGTTCTTTTTTTTGTTGTTTTTTTGTATAAAATAGGCAATTGGACAAGTATGTTGAAAGTATACACTCGTAAACTTTATATAAGATAAACATTACGGACTTCCGATTTGTTTTATTAGTTAAGTGGTCACGTGTTTAATTGGAGACCATGTTGGTTTTTGTCGGGTTTATGAAAAACATCGAACAGTGAACTCTCGTTGATATTGCTTTGTTAACAAATAGTTTTTATATTCTTTTAAAATAAATCATTTCAAAAGGTTATGGGCCCAGTCACGTATGCGTAGGAGGTAAACAACGAAGCAAAATAAGCAAAATAAAGAGGTAAAACAAAGTTTTTCGTGATCGAAAATTGGAAATATATTTGGTATTGTAAATATGGCGTCAGGTTTGGACGTAAAAACGACGAGTATAATTCCGTTGAATGGCAAAAATTTCCCCACTTGGAAAGTTCAATGTCGAATGGCACTTATGAGAGATGGTGTATGGGGAATTGTGGCCAAAACTGAAGTGTCGCCAAGTCCAGATAAAGCCGAAGATTTAGCAAAGTTTGTTGCGAGGAGAGATCGTGCCTTGGCAACAATTGTTCTGTCGGTCGATCCGTCGTTGTTGTATCTCCTTGGAGATCCACAAGACCCTGCTGTGGTTTGGGAGAAATTGACCAATCAATTACAAAAGAAAACGTGGGCAAATAAGTTGGCACTACGTCGTAAACTCTATTCATTGCGGTTAAAAGACGGTGAATCAATTCAGAAACACATCAAAGAAATGACTGAGATATTTGATGGATTAGCGGTCATCGATGACCCTATAACGGAAGAGGATCGAGTTGTTCATTTGTTAGCAAGTTTACCTGAGTCATATGATATACTGGTTACGGCGTTGGAGGCAAATGTTGAAGTTCCTAAAATAGAAACTGTGACCGAACGTTTGTTGCACGAAGAACGAAAAATGAAGGAGAGAAGTGGGTCTGAGACTAATGATGAAATGAAAGCTATGTTTGCGAACAGACAGTCTAAAGGCAAGGGTCCCAAATGTTACCATTGTGGAAAGTTTGGACACATTAAACGAAACTGTCGAGAACTGAATAGTCTAAAACATGATGGGGATAAAAGTGAGTTTAATGAGGGTATTGACAACAAACATAAAGCTAACACTGCAGCCAAATCCAGACGAACAGACAGCAGCTCAGATAGTGATGAAGTGGGATTGATGGTGAATCATGCATTTAGTTCTGTAAACGGGAGAACAAATACATGGATAATTGATTCTGGAGCAACTTGTCATATGTGCAATGATAAGTATGATATGAGTCAGTTTGTGAAATTGCATAACTTGGAAAAGCCTGAAGATGTTACTCTTGGAGATGGTCATGTTGTCAAAGCAACTGGACGGGGAGTCGTTAAAACAAAAATAGAGTCTCCAAATGGCCAAAAGGGAAAGAGTTGTGTACTGCAAGATGTTCTTTATGTTCCAAGCTTATCGTATAACCTAGTGAGCGTGTCTAAAGCTACAAAGTCTGGAAAGACTGTGAAGTTTAATGAAGATGGATGTCGCATTCTTGATGAAAGTCAGAAGCTGATTGCCACTGCTAAAAGAGTAGGAAACCTGTATTACCTGAATTGCACGAACAGTCATCAAGCAAACCCTACTGTAGGATATTCAAGCATGGGAAGCAAAGAGGTCACCTGGCACAAGCGATTTGGACATCTCGGTGTTCAAAACCTCCAAAAGTTGGCAAAAGAAAACCTGGTTGATGGCTATGACTATGACAAATCAAAGGACATTGATTTCTGTGAATCTTGTGCAGAGGGAAAGCATCATCGAAGTAAATTCCCAGTCAACGAAAGTCAACGTGCTAAAATGCCCCTTGATTTGGTACACAGTGATGTATGTGGTAAAATGAGTGCAAAATCGCTTAGTGGAACTGAGTACTTTCTGACATTTATCGATGATCACACTCACTATGTATGGGTTTATGTCTTGAAACACAAAGACGAAGTCTTTGGAAAATTCTTGGAGTGGAAAGCCTTAGTCGAGAAATCCTCTGGCAGAAAGGTTAAAGTCTTCCGCACAGACAACGGGGGGGAGTACACCTCGACAGAGTTTGAGAATTATCTGAAGAAAGAAGGGGTAACACACCAATTAACTGTGCCCAAGACACCGGAACAAAATGGAGTCGCTGAAAGGATGAACCGGACCCTGGTGGAATCGGTGAGATCCATGTTAGCAGATGCTAAACTCCCGCACAAGTTCTGGGCTGAAACACTCTCAACTGCTGTTTATCTTAGAAACAGAAGTCCCTCAGTTGCAGTCAAAGGAAAGACTCCTTTTGAAGCCTGGACAAGTCAGAAACCTAATGTGAAGCATCTACGAGTGTTTGGATGCGAAGCGTATGCTCATGTGCCAAAGGACGAAAGAAAGAAACTTGACTCGAAAGCCAGAAAATGTATTCTTCTTGGTTATGGCACTGAAACGAAGGGCTATCGTCTTTATGATCCAAATCGTGCAAGAGTCTTTCACAGTCGTGATGTCCAGTTTAATGAATCTTCACAAGAACCTGAAGTTGTGAAAGTACAAGAGCCAAAGCAAAACACACTTGTGGAACTTGAGTTTGAAGAGCCCATTGATGTCGAAGAGCCTGTTGTAAACGAAGAGCCTGAGCCTCAAGTTACGAGGAGGTCAGAAAGAGATCGAAGACCACCTGCCTACTATGGAGAGTGGGCAACAGCTGCAAATCATGATAAAAACGAGCCAAGGACCGTGAAAGAGGCTTTGTCAAGTCCACAAAAGGCAAAATGGGTGAAAGCAATGGAAAAAGAAATGGAATCCCTTAAAACTAACGAAGTATGGAACCTAGTTGAACTGCCTGAGAATCGTAAAGCCGTTGGCAGCAAGTGGGTATTTCGAGTTAAAACAGATGCGGACGGAACAGTTGAAACACACAAGGCCCGGCTCGTAGCTCAAGGTTTCAGTCAAACATTTGGTGACGACTATGATGAAACATTTTCACCTGTAGCTAGGTTTGAATCAGTTCGAACAGTTATTGCGTTAGCTGCACAGCATGGTTTAAAGCTTCATCAAATGGACGTCACAACAGCATTTCTGAATGGAGATCTCAAAGAAGAAGTCTACATGAAACAACCGGAAGGTTTCATTGAGAAGGGAAAAGAACACCTGGTCTGCAGGTTACGTCGAAGTATATATGGCCTTAAACAGTCTCCACGTTGTTGGAACTCTGTTCTCGACAGAAAATTGAAGAATATGGGCTTTGTACAAACCACCGGTGATCCATGTATCTATGTAAAGGAAGAAGGTGGAGAGATATTCATTATTGCTGTGTATGTTGATGATATTCTCCTGGCCGGAAAGAATGATCAGAAAATCAACGAAGTGAAGCAAGCACTCGCTGAGCAATTTCAAATGAAAGATATGGGTCAACTACACTACTTCCTGGGTGTGAAAGTTATCCAGAAACCAGATTCAAAAGAAATTTGGATTGGCCAAGAAGCGTACACGAAGAGTGTGTTGGAAAGATTTGGCATGGAAAGTTCGAAACCAGCAAGCACACCTGTTAACCCTGGGACAAAACTGAAGAAGGCAGCAGACGACAGTCAACGAGTGGACCAAGTTAACTACCAGTGTGCCGTTGGACATCTACTTTATCTGTCCACGAAAACAAGACCAGACATCGCATATGCCGTAAGCGATGTAGCAAGGTTCAGTGCTCATCCAACGGAGGAGCATTGGATTGCTGTTAAACGTATCATGCGTTATCTGAATGGAACTCGAGATATGGGTTTACTTTATGATGGAAGCAAGACAACGACTTCATGTGTTGAGTATTCAGACGCTGACTGGGCTGGAGATCTTGATGACAGAAAGTCAACTTCGGGATATGTCTTCCAGATAAGCAACGCAGCTATCAGTTGGCGAAGCAAAAAACAGTCATGTGTGGCTCTCTCGACTGCTGAAGCAGAATACATGGCATTGGCAAGTGCAACCCAAGAAGCAGTTTGGCTACAACAACTTCTAAGTGATCTAAAGAGCAAGCCAACCGGTCCAATGTTGATACTTGAAGATAATCAAGCAGCAATCTGTATGGCAAAGAATGCACAGTACCATGGACGTGCAAAACACATTGATATAAAGTATCATTTTATTCGAGAACATGTTGCTAGTGCTGCAGTTAAACTGGAATACTGTAGCACTGAAGAAATGATCGCTGACATTTTTACTAAGGGACTAAGTGTGGTTCAGTTTACCAAACTTAGAAAGATGCTCGGAGTTAGTTATAAATGAACATACAGTTATACGAGTGAGCAGGAGTGTTGAAAGTATACACTCGTAAACTTTATATAAGATAAACATTACGGACTTCCGATTTGTTTTATTAGTTAAGTGGTCACGTGTTTAATTGGAGACCATGTTGGTTTTTGTCGGGTTTATGAAAAACATCGAACAGTGAACTCTCGTTGATATTGCTTTGTTAACAAATAGTTTTTATATTCTTTTAAAATAAATCATTTCAAAAAAGTACTGGTGTAAGACATTGTGTAGCATAAACAATGAGAGGACCACTATCAAGGCCTTTTCTAACATACAAGCCGGTGGGGGCAAATGTCCCCCTTATGCCCCCCACAAAATCACATCCCCCCACAAGGAAAAGTCCCTTTTTCCTAAATTTATACAAAGAAACCAGCAAAAAATAACAAATTGATCAACAAAAAGTAAATTTTAGGCTTTACCCTTGTTTAACAAAATCGATTTAAATTGTTACGTTTTTTACCACTAAGTAATGATAAATTATTGTTAATTATTTTTTTATTTTTTTTTAATTTTTTGTGTGTATACTTAGCATAAATTTTAGAGTAAATTTAAATGCTCAGAATGGAGGAAATGGCATTTCTGGGCTTCAAATTTCAAACATTTTCTGGGGGAATATGCCCCCAAACCCTGTGACCTTCAGCCATTCCTATCCCCCTCTAATATATTATCTCACAGAAGGGTACCTTTTCAAAAAATGCCCCCCTCACCCGTGGGAAAATCCTTAAAAAGGCCCTGACCAGTATACCTAAAAAAACTATTAAATGTCTGTTTATATATTAAATTTATACTTCTGACAACAACACCACATGTTCAATCGATGGACAAAAACAAATTGTTTGCAGAAGGAAGCAGGCGCAAAAAAATTGTTTGCAACGACAACAACACCAAAAAAAATTGTTTGCGTTGACGAAATGTCCACCCCCCCCTCCAAAAAAATAATGGTCAGTCCCTTATCGACCTTAAGGTCCGACATGACGGTATTTTTTGTTGTGCTTTGCCTTTGAGGTATATACTAAGGGTTAAATGAAGTATATACCGGAAACCAGCCATTATACTCCGCTGTGCATCTGACTTGGGGACACGCATAATCAGAAAACCCAAAATTCCGGGCGCCAGAGTATGCCTGTATGATATCATGTTCAACACTCGAAATAAATCACAGGGGGTCCAACTAACAGCTGTGTTATGAATAAAACATATTAATTAAACGTAATATGAATAAAACATCATAACGTAATATTGCACTTACTTGTATAAATCATAAGAGCTTGCATTTTAATACAGTGAATAGCTTCAAAAACTTGCTTCGTTCCAAAGACTTCAAATATGGCGAATAAATTGACAAAACAATAATATTACATGACGTTCCAACGAAAATAACAGAAAGGATTGCGGGCGCGAGCGGAAAGGCGAGGAAAGAAATAAATAGAAGGGATGAAACAAATATCACGTGACTTTTTAAAATGCTTCTAGACTATCCGTTTAAGCTTTTTGTGGGGTTTTTACAGTGCGTCTACTGTAAGTGGGGCCACTTAGAGAACACTAACCAATCGCATTGCAGAACAGAAAGAAAAATCTAATCAAACTAAAGCTCGTCCAATCAAAAGAAAGATTCAGGAAGCCATTAACTGCAATGGTTACTTTTACATGTCTATTTTTACCGTTTGACATTCGTTTATTTGTTCGAATTGTTTTTGCCCTAATGCTGATTGGCTAATGCGCCGTTTGTTGATTTTTTCACTTTCTGTTCTGCAATGTGATTGGTTAGTGTTCTCTAAGTGGCCCCACTTACAGTAGACGCACTGTAAGGCTCAGTCGATGTTCTCTTATATGAACAAGCCTAGTCATTACCAAAAAAGCACTGATCAATCTAATTTATGTGATTTATAACAGCGAGCATTCTTGGCCATTATCGCGAGATGTGTTCCATAAGTAGCCTGTTCTCGTGACGTATGACGAAATAATAATAATTAACAATTATTCGCCGAAGGCGAAGTGATTACCGGTGAATATTCACCGAGACGAAGTCGAGGTGAATATTCACCGTAATCACTGAGCCTGAGGCGAATAATTGTTTTAGTATAAATTTTTAATGAATAAAACAAAATATCCAAGATATCCAACTATAAGTTTAATTAAAATTCAGAAATAAAACTGTTTTCGACCGGTTTACGGTTTAGTGTTGCAGTGTTTCTTGTACACGCACGCTTTCAAAATGGCTTCCTGTGCGACTTTATTGCTTTATTACAAAGTTATTTTTCTCGATTTCTGCTTAGAATATAAACACAATGATGGATGACTTTTTTACCAGACTTAGAATTAAAAAATAGTTTCTGTTTAGCATTAATTTGTTCAGGAAATGGCTGAGAAATTTGGTAAAATGAAATGTAAAACTATATCGTTCGAATTAATATAAAAGTTTTAATACACTTTTCACTTTACAAGTTTTAAAAACACAAATAGTACAATACAGCGAAAGGACACCATACAGCACAATGAAAATACGACATAGTCAAAAGAAATAGTATCGTACAAATTGAGATATTTATAGGATACAAAACAAAATTGTTTTAAAAAGAATATCACGGCTTTTCCCAAAAGTCGGGATATTTTTTGCCATTTCAGATTTACGTTTGAAGCGAATGTTTCGGAGTTTTAAATAAGTTTTAAATTGTCCGTGAATATGTTTGACACAGTAATATAATACTAAATCCTACCTTTCAAGTTAAATACAACATTTTGTGCTTTTTTTCTTTTTCTGGGACGATTTTTTCAATATTTTGTCGATTTTGAAACCAAATTTGCCGAATCATTCTTTTTGAAAAGCATTATTTACTACCCAGGTGGTAAATAATGCCTCAGATTTACTAGTCAACTAGCCAATCAGAACGCGCGAAAGCTCATTTGATATGCAAAATTTATACTAAAACTAAATAATGCAAAAAAAAAACGTTGGTCGCTACATTTAAACATTTCATATTAGCCGGTATAGCTAAACATTGTTTATTTTCATTAATTAAGCGCGTAGGCGTTGTTGGAGTTGGCAGGAGGCGTTTTGGAATTTTCCGAGAGAACAGGCTACTTATGGAACACATCACACGATCGCATTACCGGTGTTTCATCCCTTCTATTAATATCTATTACCCTCGCCTTCCGCTCGCGCCCGCAATCCTTTCTGTTATTTTCGTTGGAACGTCATGTAATATTATCGTTTTGTCAATTTATTCGCCATATTTGAAGTCTTTGGAACGAAGCAGAGGCAAGTTTTTGAAGCTATTCACTGTATTAAAATGCAAGCTCTTATGATTTATACAAGTAAGTGCAATATTACGTTATGATGTTTCACCCATATTACGTTTAATTAATATGTTTTATTCATAACACAGCTGTTAGTTGGACCCCCTGTGAATAAATCTGGTATTTCCGCGCTCCCATGTATTATTCTCTATTTACTTTTTAGTCAATTTAGATTCTCTATGATCCTCCTACTTTCGATTCTATTGTCAGAAGCAAGGATCTATAAAGCATTCCAAAGTGTCGATCATAGGCCCTCAAACGAGAATTTTACGAAGCGCAGAAGTCGGAATTCTACTGTTATCCAATTTGACAACTCTTATAGCTACCTACAAAATGTCCCTACCTCTTCTTGCTCTATGAGCAGTAGATAGCTGCGTCTGGGTTAGAAACCTTTAACAAAAAGATAAGAAGATAGTACTTTTCGTAAACTTTCGTTTGTCCTGAAGTGTTAAACAATTAATACGACGCAATATGATAATATATACGCTCTATAAATTGACTTAGTAATATAGCACATATACTCCTGGGGCCGGTTGTATCAAGCCCGTTTAGCTTAAACGGTGGTTAAGCTCAAAATAGAAAGCAAGTCTATAGATTCATTAAACAACCAAACTAAAAGTTTTGAACATTAATGGAACGATAATGTTTACAACTATATATTCAGCGCAGAATATTTAAGTTGACTGATTCACGAAAGACATAAGAGTGTTATTTAATTTTGACTTATCCACCGTTTAAGCTAAACGGGCTTGATACAACCGGCCCCTGGTAAATTGTGCAGTTGCATGTAGTGAGAAGTTACTGGTTTGTTAACTACATTGTATGGTAGTTATATACTTACGCCAAAGCAAAAAAGCCTGCTATAAGTGTCTTCATTTTCACAGCGAATGTTGAAATCAGAGAGTTCTAGACGACGAACTGTTGTATGAAGCGGATATGTAACCTTAGTGCTTGCTTCAGATCTTATCCCAGTTTGACAGTGATATTTGCAGTTTAATTAATCGGTGGGGCCACCTGTGGTGCCCACCGACTCTAGGTTTGCCCTTTGGTACGCCACAAAATGACAAATTACGTCATTTTAATTACGTAAGGAATGTTACTGATATATACCGTTACATTCTTTGCAGATAGACTTCTGACCATAGCCTTCTTCGCCTTGTTGAGTACCACAAAAAATATGGATAAAGCGGTGGCAAGTCAAACATGAATGGGCATTACATCTCCATTGCAAACATGACATACATTCACCTCATCTACAACTTTGTCTTCTTCCATTAGCTGAGCAGCATTGCTAAAGAGTAAAAGCTAAAAAGACAATGCGTGCTATATTAAAATACTACAGTGTCTTGCGTATAAGAAATATATGTTTAGTGTCAATGCAGGTAACAAGGAATACAAAAGATAGGTGCGCTAGGCGTACATGTATCTGCGCAAAGGAATTCCATAGTTGCTATGAAAAAAATTTCATTCACAATTATTAGTAAACATTTATATTTCGAAGTGACTATACAGCTGGCTATTTTGTAAACTGTTGGCTATATAGTGACTAAGAAAAAAAAGCTAAGTCAGACAAAACCCAACCCAACCGGCGTTTCACTTTCCGCACGCAGCGCCTATACCGTATACTCTAACGGCAAGATCAGTAAAAGCTAGCACAAACAAAAGTGTTTTTTATATTTAACTATAGTCAGTATATAGCCGGCAGTTTACTAAATACCCGGCTGCTGGCAGTATAGTCACTTTGTTTATATTTGATATGACAAAGAATGTTCCGATTGCAGTCTCTTCTCCACCGCAATCAACTGTCAGATCAGTCAGAAAGCCAGCATTGTTTATAATAAAAACAGAATAAGAGTTATGTATGAAATTGGTACAAAATTGCCGAGGTATAAATACTGTACCCACATTTATAAATGTGTGATAAATGAAAAAAATACATACAATCTGTAAAGAAATTTTGTTAACTTTAACTCAGCTTATGAAGCAATCCTATAATCCTAACATGTCCTGTGACTATTAAGTGCAACATTATAACAACATTTTAACGTAACATAATAATTCTGAATGCTGTGACTATATATAAAATGTACCATATATGTAAACAAAATTTTGACATCCCATACAGATACAGTTGTAGATAATATTAATTATGAACAGACAATCGATATTATTAAAAAGGCATGCACGGTTACTCACCTAAAAGCTTTACGATGTTACTTTGGGCAATCTTCTAAGATATAACAAAAGTATTTATCGGAGAATTTTGACTTATATACAATTATACATAGCCGAGCAAAATATAAAATACTCAATCGTCACTCTGTAGAAAGCCGCCATCTTTGTTTAACGGCCTGTTCGCAGGCGTACAGCCCTAATTAGTCGACCTGAGTGTTTAACACACGCACGCACACACACACACAACTCGATAGCATAGTATCTAGCGCTACGCGCAGATACAAAAATACTCATGGAAAAAATTAGAGCTTCATGTCTAAAATTTATTATCCACTAAATTACTAAATATTTTATTTTAAAATCTTTAAAACAATACTTCATTCAATTCACCACACATTAAATCAGTTTATGAAGTGTTGACCACTAGCGAATTTACTCATCATGGTCACAGTATGTTTTCCATAATTGTTAAAAATGTGTTCAAGTCTGTTCTACGCATGTGCTATGTGAGGGCCCTTTCGTGGAAAATCAATACCCAAATTTTGTGCTGTTTTGACATCTTCTAAATTGAAAGTTATCTAACCAGAACGATGTTATAAATTAACTAAGTACATCATATTTTATTATAAATACAGTGTACTCAAAATGCAATATAATTTTTTGCATTCAATTGTAATAAATAAATAAATAATTAATTAATTAATTAATTTCTGTTCATTTGCCAAACTGAAGACAAAAACTGCTTTTATAAACAAAGCTCATGTCACACCAACTAATTTTCCAGAAAATGGGGAGGCCTCCCGGCCTCCTCATTTTCTGGGGGTAGATCTGGACACGAGTTAATGCCAATGAGAGGAGGGACTATGTCTGGTCTAACTGAGGATAGAACAACACGAAACTACTTTTTCATATAGCTACATCATATACAGAAGCCCGTCGTCTCTTGTTAATTTGGTGAATTGCCTTGATTGTGCCAAATATTTTTCAGCTTACCCCCACCCCCACCCTAGACTTGCTCCAAGTCTCTCTTTCATTGTCATATAGTGTCGATTCACTATAGTGTACATTACATGACGTAGTACGGAGGGGCGGAGCGAGAAAGAGAGACTTGTCAACTTCGGAAAATCTCGGTTCAAAACTGAACCGAAAATGCAAGACTTGCTTTAATTGTTTTCTGTCAGTGTTTAGGGACCGGTCATAAAGTAAAAGGGGGGTGGGCTGGGAAAAATAGGGGGGTGGGTAACTATTTTTGAGCACGGTTGAAGGGGTGGGTCATCGAAAGTTAAGCGCGATCATAAGGGTGGGCCATGTAAAAATATGCAGAAGATTGGGCCCCAGTCATTTTCTTGTGTTAAAAATTTCCGCACAAAGAACAAGATATCTGTTTTTTGGGCTAAGTATCGAAATTTGGTATGAAAAATTAAGATAAAGTCCTTGGAAAGCAATTGCAACGTACTCGTCCGGAAAATTTTTACCTAAAAAAGTTGTCGACGGGGGGGGGAGGGGGGGAGGTTATTGTCCGAAAAAAATTGGAAAAGGGGTGGGTCATAATTTTTCAGCACCAATTTAAGGGTGGGCTACAAATTTTCGTGCAGCTATTAAGGGGTGGGCTACCAAAAGTGCAGACACCAAATATATGATTTTCCCAGCCCCCCCCCTTTTACTTTATGACCGGTCCCTTATATGTATTGATCTAGCACAGTGTAAATAACATGAGTTCCATTATAGTAAATAATACAGAAAGAAATTGAAGGAAAACAATTAAAGCAAGTCTTGCATTTTCTGTTCAGTTTTGAACCGAGATTTTCCGAAGTTGACAAGTCTCTCTTTCTCGCTCCGCTTCTCCGTGCTACGTCATGTAATGTACACTATAGTGGATCGATATGACAATGAAAGAGAGACTTGGAGCAAGTCTAGCCCCCCCCACCTAATTGTTAATGCGATTGCTTACTTTCTTGCCACGTGCGAAAATCATAAAGCTTCTAAAATGCTATATTATTACTTTATGACTTGTCTTTATAAAACGTTCAATCGATAACGCAATCATAAATTTTAATCAATGCGGAAATAAACGTTTATTGAATCTAAGAACTAAACAATGAAGTACTACTGGACGACTGAACTGAGTAAAAAATTGCTGGCTGAACGAATAGTAATAATTATTAAAATATTAAATTATAGGCAAGGACAGTTGTTTGCAAAATGTTGTTTCCCTTTGAAATGGTTTCTTGCAAAATGCCGTTTCCGCTTCCAACTTCTTTTGCAACGAACGACTTTTTAAAGGCGCGGTAAAGCCATTCGCTTCACTATACTGAGTATACTCTATGTAATGTTGATTGCCGATGCTTTAGTTTTACGTGCCTTACTAGTGCCTTACTTACCTTACCGTGCATTTTTTCTCGCTTCCGAACGGCGTTCGACGGTCGATGTTCGACGCTGGCCTGGTTACAAAATTTGGCGCCTTTTCAAGTTTTCATCAATACTTCTGTCATTCAAGACAAGACATTGACTATTTATATTAACTTCGGAAAATTCAAACTTGAAAAGGCGCCAAAAGCGAGAAAAAATGCGGAATGCACATATCAGTGAAATGCGTAGTAAGGTCCATACAGACCGAACGCGATTCGGGAACGCGACGCGAATTTTCAGTTTTTAAAAACAAATAAAACTGTGAACGGTTACAGATTTTACAAGATATGTAGATCAAATAGTTCAAATTGCTTAAGTGGTTCCGAATATTTGAAAAACATAGTCATTAGTCGGCCGGCCAAGATGGCAAAAAGTGCCTCTAAATTAGAGAGTTTGATGGCAACTTTATGTTAGAAGCTGGTAACAGACATTTTCTTATAGTTCAGGCCTTGGTGAATAAGATTGTGTGTGTTACCATTTCTGATTTTTGCTTTATAGCCAAAAAATTGAGAATTTTAAAATTTTGCCTATTAAATTACTATGATGGCAAAAAATGTAAAATTTCATGTTCTCTTATACAAAAAATAAACTATACCACTAGAAAGATCGCAAAAAACTATACCGGGTGTTCCAAAAAAAAGTACTCCGGTTTGATTTATAATAACGTCTAAACAAGTAAAGCTATCAAACAGAAATAACTTGCATTAAATAGAGGAAGGACTAACTTAGATTTTGATATATTACAGTTGTATTTTACTTAAACATTCACGGAGATATTAATGTTCAAAATCGGGAGCATATTTTGGAATGTGTCTAAAATCAGCGAAAATCGGCATATCAAATATTAACTCCAGCGTTTGTTTGCTTAATGACATATCAGGCTAACTTGTATTTCAGTGAATTGTCGTTAGGGTTTGTAAGGGATATGGCGCAGATTTAGACATTTTAACATGCATGTAAGTCTTAGCTGATTGTTTCCTGAAATATTGAACGTTCAAAATTATGCAAGTATTTAATAGGTCTTTACAAACTAAAAGGTACATGAAAAACCATATATGCAAGGCAGGCGCTTAAATTTTTGTTAAATAGCCTAATTTTTTTATGTTTTTCATGGGTTCAAAACAGAGTTGATTATTTCTCGGTTAGAGCAGGATGATTTCTTTAATGAAGGAAATAATATTGCTTTTTGCAAATACACATCAAAGTATCAACGCTACTATTTTGTTACGTTTTGTTCCAAAAATGTTGGATGTCTCTGGGGAGTTGCTTGTTATGTCTTATGAAGTTGTATGGTTAGATTGTGTTTCATTCTCAGTTTATTCTGAACTTAACAAGATTAAGAAAAAGCAAAAGAGTTTGAGTGTTCTTAACAAGATTTCAGAACTTTGCAGAAGTTAGAAGAGCTTCACAATTCCATTGTGACAGCATGCCCTAATTCAGAACTACGAACGATATCCATGACGATCCTTAATTCGCGATGCAGTGGTCTCATGAAATAAGGAAACGTATTCGTCTAAGGAACACACGCGGATTTCGGACGAATAAATCTTGCTTGTATTTTGTAGATAATAATACTTTGTTTCATAATAAACAATTTGTCAAGTGTCATTCATTTAATGGTAACAGTGCATGTTTCAATCGGGCAAATTTTGATTAATATTTGATACGCCGTTTTTTTGCATATTTCAGACACATCCAAAAATATGCTCCCGATTTTAAACATTAATATCTCCGTGAATTTTTAAGTGAAATACAACTGTAATATACCAAAATCTAAGTTAGTCCTTCCTCTATTTGATGCAAGTTATTTCTCTTTAAAAGCTTTACTTGTTTTGAAGTTATTACGAATCAAACCGGAGTACTTTTTTTTGGGACACCCGGTATATAAGACAATTAAGCGACTAGTGCGATTTTCAAGCAGATTTTGAATTAAAGATGGTTAAAGTTGGCAAAATGGGTACTAATTAGCATTAATTTGGTCATTTCTGCATTTTTTAGCATTAAAAACTCGAAATAGGATTAGAAAAACGTAGAACTCACTTGATTGTCTTATATATAGTTTTTTTACGCTCTTTCTAGTGGTATAGTTTATTTTTCGTATAAGAGAACATGAGATTTAACATTTTTTCCGATCATAGTAATTTAATAGGCAAAATTTAAAAATTCTCAAATTTTTGGCCATAAAGCAAAAATCAGAAGTGGTAACACATATAGTCTTGTTCACCAAGGCTTGAACTATAAGAAAATGCCTGTTACCAGCTAGCTTCTAACATAAAGTTGCCATCCAGTTGTACAAAATGATGACTTGGCCAGCCGTCTACATAGAAAAATAGTAAAGTTAAATGTCATTGAAAATTGAAAATGTGTTTAGACTTTATGGCCTTAAGACAACCGAATATGAAATATATTATTTCATTTCCATCCTTTTATAATTATAAATATTAGGTTAAGCATCTCATAAATTTCATATCAGATTCAGTATTGAGCAACTTTAAAACGGTTTAAACTCAGCAAGTGTTTTGTCTTTGCTTTTTTACAATCATTAAATCATGGAGAATTTTGTAGAAGCAGCCTGTCTGATATTTAATGCCTAAATATACGTTGAAGAGTAAACAATGTTAGATACAAAACGTTTTTTCCTCATGTATGTGCAGGGCTTCCAGATTATTTACAACAAGAAATTGAACGTGTACAGACAAGTAGGCATCTGAGAATTCTTACGTGATCTGGACAGAGGGTGGACTTGAATAACTTAGATTCTTGCACTAATCACAACCCGCACACCCGATTACCTATATATACACCAACTTACGGTTACAGCTGAACAGCTGTCCTCTGTAGCTCAGTTGGTTAGAGCGCTGCACCGGAACCGCAGGGCCGTAGGTTCAATTCCTACCAGAGGACCTTGCAATTGTGCTGCATTTTTCCCTGTCGTTCCTGGTTAGGTCTTAAAATGTATATATTCTCACTTGGATTACCAACCCTAACATCCTAATATTAATTCCACCAAGTTAAGTGCAAGAATCTAAGTTATTGAAGTCCACCTTATCACAACCCGCACACCCGATTACATATATATATATATATACACAAACTTACGGTTACAGCTCAACAGCTGGCCTCTGTAGCTCAGTTGGTTAGACTAAGAGCGCTGCACCGGAATCGCAGGGCCGTAGGTTCAATTCCTACCAGAGGACCTTGTGCTGCATTTTTCGCAGTCATTCCTGGTTAGGTCTTAAAATGTATATATTCTCACTAGCTTGGATTACCAACCCTAACATCTTTTTTAATCTTAGTCTTTTTAACTACACAATAAGTACAATTATTGATCTCATATCCTATTATGATCACTAGCTAAATGTAAATCCGTTGTATTTTTAATCCCAAAGATTGATAATAAATTCAAATTAAAAAAAACCAAAAAAAAAACACAACAGTCTGTGTATTATCATGAAGTATTATACAATTACTTTATGGTTTCCGTGTTTGGATGGCCTGATCCAAACACGCGGGAATGTTGCGAGAGTTAAGAAAAGCGAGCGAAATCACGAGCCGAAGGCGAGTGATTTTGCCCGCTTTTCTTAACTCGAGCAAAATTCCCAAGTGTTTGGATCAGTCCATCCAAACACGGAAACCATAAAGTAATTGTTTTATAAAATAACAACAACACGATAGTCTTCCGTGTTTGGATGGCCTGATCCAAAAACACGGCTTTTGACCAATCAGAACACGCGTTATATACATGTTATTTTATAATATAAAATGTCAATTATTAATAGTATAAAACAGTTCCATTAAGTATTGGAGTAGTAACCATCTCGACGTAACAGCTTTCAGGTTGGTCACAAGGTGCATGATCTAATTCAAGTAATATCAAAGTGTTTTCACCCTCCTTGAATGCACTTGCTGGAACATACATTGTGACTTGAGGACCTTCGACTGGCCAGTAACGACCTAAGTTGAAGTGGTTTAGAAAAGCTTGACCCTATATAAAAATTAACAATAATAAAACAGAAAATATAAAAAAATGTTAAATAATATAGTCTGGTTCAGTACGTATTGTGGAATTTTATCTAATTAATGTACAGAGAAGTCAGAGCAATGGAATTTTGACAAATATATTTCAAATGTTAATACTAGTAAATGCTTCGATCTCTAAAATCAGGTACCGGTTGTACGAGGACGGGATAGCCGGATTTCCATTTCTTGTAAAAAGCCTGGAAAACTGTAAAACTACGGATATGGTCCCGACAATAATTATAAATTAATTCAATTTTTAAATGCTCTCCTCTATCTTTGTTACACCTATCGACGGCGAAAATCATTATCCACAGGTAACACCTTCATACAACCGGCCCCAACAGCGCACTTTGTCCCTATGCCCTGCATTTGATAGAGGACAGGGGATCACCATTTCAACTTACAACCCAACCTCGTACCCAAGCTAAATGGACCCTGGGTACGAGGATGCTCACAACCTCCCACGTGTTTGGGTGTCCTTATCATTATAGGCCGGCCTTTTGCGGCATCTTTTTAAATGAGTACTTTTTGCCGCTTGGGTTTTACGAAATATACGAATTTACGAAAAGTTCTGTCAGGTGTTAAAGTAGATGACTACCTGTAGCATATCTAGATATTCAGGCGTGGAAGCAAAATAATTTTGACTTAATTGTACAATTTTTCGTATTATTCTTCATTCATTCCCATCATATACATATCCGTTATTTCATTAAGATATCCAGACCAGGACGTCCTGGTTAAATTACACGATTATATCATAGATGGATAAACAGCAGGAAGTCCAGATTAAATTAACTAGCAATATGTTAAAATAACCAGGAAAATCAACCAAAATTATTACGTTAACCCAAATAGGGTTAATTCAAGGTCAACCAGGAAAATTTAACCATAGTGTTTTTTTAGTGTGTTTTCACCTAGTAGCTTTCTGGTGTGTGCGTGTTTGTTGTCAGTATTATAACTCAAAATGTATCAAAATTTGTGAAACAAAATTTATGAGGCTAATGATCGTAGGCCAAGGACATACCGATTAATTTGTTTCAATTTGGATTGAAATAAGATGACTTTTGCCTTAAGCTTTTCCGAGAAAAGAACTGAAAGCGTAAATAATGCATGTACTGCCTTTTAATGATATAAATGTGATAACCCTAAAATCGGGAAAAAAATGGGTCCCCTCCTCTTTCCCTATCAGCCCGTCATTTTATTCGCCCGATTTAGGAAGTCTAAGTGGAGGTATGCAGTCTCAGAGTGTACTCGAGCTTATTATTCCGTTTGTATTGAAACTACTACGTACTAACACGTACCTTTGCCCAACCTTTTAACAATAAATACGTATCCTGAGGCGCTTGTCCTGCAGGCAAGGGCGGAACAGTTCCTTTAAAGAAAGCAGGGACTTTGTTATTTGTCGCGGTCAAATCGCTGGCAATTTCCCTATAGACATTTGGAGGGTTCTTAACATGTACCACTGTCCAATTCGTGAGTATTTCACCATCAATGGTTACATTGTTAACCAATCCTTTAGGGTCATTCATATGGCCGTAGTTAATGCGTCCTTGGTTTTCTATTAAAATATCAAGCACGCTATTCTGGCTTATTTGAATGTCCAAGCTCTTCTCCTTGTCGTTGCGTTGAATGACACCTTGTCTTGCCTACAACAAACATCAATCACCAGTATGAGGGCCAGTTTATATGACCCCAACTACACACGCAAAAATCTCACATCTTGTAGCAAATCTGTCAACAAGTCGTCAACAAGTTGTTCGTGTTCACACTGCTTGTCCCAAGTTTTCAACAAGTTTGGAATAAGCTGTTAACAACTTGTAACAACCTTGTTGATATTATAAGACTTGTTGCAAGGTTGTTCCATACAGCCATGATACAACAATTCTTATAATTATTATATTGTTACAACCTAGCTTGTGTCGTCGCCTTGTAACATTTTTGTTATATCCAGGGGGGGGGGGCAGGGAGGGGGACAAAATACCCGGGGCCTGGAGTGCTCAGAGGGGCCAGGAAATCTTTGCAAAATGTTCGTATCGTTTATCATCGTTCTTATGTTCGTCGTGATCGATCGTAAAACGTACCAATTACCAAATGTGAAATAAACGATTTTTCAATTGGAGTATCAGCAAAAAACACTTGTAACAAGTCTGATAACAATTTGTTCCAAACTTGTTGCAACAACTAGGAACAAGCAGTGCAAATACAACTTAATTGTCAACAGGGCCGTTCCTAAACGACGATAATTGGGGGGGGTGTTTATTCATATATTCATGTTCACATACCGTAAAAACAATCGCTTTCAAAAGAAATCCTTCGGGCAGAACACGAATATATGAACATACACCCCCCCCCCCTATTATCGCGCTAGGAACAGCCCTGCTTGTCAACAGCTTGTGAACAGATTTGTAATAACTTGTGCGTTTTCACGTATGTAGGAGGGACATATAAGCCCGGATCAAACGATAATGATACTTCACCACAAAATGAAAATAACGAAGTAAAACGTTACTTCTTAAGACTATTTCGTTCCAAGTAAAAGTACTGCAGAAAAAGTTTACTTTGTTGCTTGCTGACTTCTCAAAAATAGTACTCAAGTATACAGTAACGAAGTACATTTACTTCGTTACTTGACACCACTGTTCCTAATACTATTTTAATAGTACTTAAAAGTAGGTTCTATTTAAATTAAAACATACTTAGTTGGATGCTGCTTAATGATGTCCGCTATAAGGCTGTAACTATGCGTGACTGCCAATTCTCATCATCTCTCGTTGCGTTTGACAAGGGCTGTAGTTTCTTTCCCATGCACACCCTCTTATCGATCCAAGCCTCGTTCGTTAGCGTCTGCGAAGGAGACTAGCAATGGCCTAACCAGGACGAGAAATTCGCGTCCAGTAGCATGCATTCTTAGCACACTTATATCCTTTTTCTGCTAAGCTTTGGCCGTTCAAAACTTTACTGCCTTTAACCCGGCAGTGTATATTGTCCATTGATAAACACGCTATTTTGCTCGAGCGAATTTCCCAGCATGAGCTCCACCTTTGAATCTACTATATGAGCAAATTGTTAAACACGTCCGAATTTGTTATTATGATGAATTCGCGGCACATTTTGAATTTATCATAATGATGAATTCGCGGCACCTAACCCCTAACACTAACCCCAACACTATACCACTAACCACTAACCCCTAACCTAACCCTAATCTAACTTTTTTAAAAATCTAACTTTTTAACATTTTTTTTGCTTTTAAACTTTTTTAAAACTTTTTTAAAACTGTTTAAACTTTTTTTGAAAATCTTGAAAGAATTTGATAAAGAATTCTGATCCGATCCGAAGAATCCTTTAATAAAATAAATTTCTCGTTCAAGTGGAAATCAAGGCATTTTTTAATACCATGGACTGGTGAGGCATTTGCCCTATTGGGCCCCTTCCTCTGCCCCACCACTGAAGAAAAACAATGGCCTATTATTGCCCCAAAGCCAGGGCCCTATGCATGACCTGCATTGAGTAAATGAGTTTAACATTGAAAAGAAGTTTAAAAAACAAAATTTGTTGGTGAGCATACTTAGACTTATGTTGTGTTCGGAATGTTTAGCATGCAATTTATTACAAATTTCACCATTAAAACTTTGTTTTGAGAAGCTAAATTTTTTTTAAAAATGGGTTCTCAGGCAGGAAATGCTATTTCAGAGACCCAAATTTTAAAAATTTTCCCCAGACCCCCCTAGCTAACTCGTAACTCGAGCCTGCGGTACTTGGCTCACACCTTCAGCAATCGCATACTTTCATGGGGGGAGGACAAGGAAAATGGGCTCTTTGGCAGTTTACTGAAGAATCCTTAAAAAATTAACTGGTGGAAATATTTAACCAAATAAATATGAAAGCAAGAAATACATGTTAAGAAGCTGAAAAAGTGCATCCGATCCGATCCGACTACGAAACAACTTTACCAATCCGATCCAATCCGAAACGAATATTTTTGTTCCGAAATCCGATCGGATTCGGATTGGATTTGCACACCTCTAGGCCCTATAGCCCGTGTATACTAGTTTCATTTTGATTGATTCAGAAATATGTGACAATAACGTTACTGAAATGCTTGTCTATTACGTTAAGCTGTTTTTGGACCGGAAAGCATTGCAAGTGGTTAACGTTTGGGGAGTTTATCACAAGAATTTTTTAATTTTCTTTCTTGGAGCGAGGGCGCTTATTCGAGGCCAGTATTTATTTATTAGTGGATTTCAGCAAGCGTTAGGAAACAGTAGTGAGTGGTCAATCTCAATTCTATTTTTTCCAACCAAGACCAAGTGTATAATGAGCTTCAGCCATTCAATCTCCTTGTCAAGCCGCCTACCCCCAAATATGCTAGAATTTAACATACATGTGTAAGATTGTTCACTATCTGAAATGCAAAATAAACAAATTGACATAGTTTCTATACACGTCAAATCTTGCCCCAAAACGCAGGAAATGCCATCTCAGGAATTGCAGATTTTAGAATAATGTCCGAAAGATTAGCCCCCCCTGGACCTCTCTACGGTTTGTTTTACCCCTCCGACTAATTCCGCCTATACCTTCAACGCTAATCTTGTTAATATTGTTCATCGTGACTGTGACCTCTGGCCAGGAACCCGACGCTGAAGGTATTACTAATTCTCTTCTAAGCCCCGTTTACACGACCAAATTTTATTTGACAAATTTCATTTGATCAAATGCATTTGATCAAAAGCTAGCATGCTAGCTTTTGTTCAAATGCATTTGTCACAATAAATTTGTCACAAATTTGTCATCTACACAAGCAAAATATCTTTGGCCTTTTAAAATTTGTCAAATAAAATTTGCTCGTGTAAACGGGGCTTAAAGACCGAAATGTGCCCAAATATGACGTAATGAATAACTTGTTACAAACCTGATTAACAAACACAATTGCCCTGTCGCGCACACCTGGTATACTAAGCTTCCTTGTTTGTTGACCATCCAATGACGGTGATACCAAAGTCTGGTAAATAGCAAAGCCATAATACATGTCCATTTGCTCCATAGTCAGAGGATACTTTGAAGATGTCACTGTTTTGGGTGGCTGTGTTGCAACCATCTATAAGAACATCGAAACAAGATCATATGAATTCGAAAGTCATAGAAGGATATGATTGGCACTAGGTTGCTAGTAGTGACTGTTTGGCCAATCACAGGGTTTGTTTCCAAAACTTGATTGTGAAATCTATAATAATCACGTTTTTTTAAAAATTGCCAACTTCGCAGAAAAATTCGAACTTCAGAAAATTCAAACGGACTTCAGAAAATCTGCGGCCAAAGTTGGCAAAAAATATATGCGAAATGACGGCTGCCGGCCAGACGTCACAAGCTAAAGCTCTTTGATTTACTGGCCGAACTCCAAGCCAGTCAGAGAGCTTTAGCTTGCGACGTTGGGCCGACAGTCGTCATGCCACATAGTGTTGACAACATTCAGTCAAAAATCTCGAAAAATTTGATGAATTTTCGTACAATTCACTCGGCGCTTTAATGTGGTGAGAGAAAAAAGGCCAATAAAAAATACAATGTAGAAGTGTTAAAGTTATATCTAATCATAATGAGTTAGCTATTTTTAATGAATTTCGATGTTTATATATGTCTGAGTTTTTCGCCATTTAGTTTTTATATACAGTGTTAAATTTTTGGTAGCCTGTGTAGCAGTCGCTTTATTTTATCGAAGGTTTGGAGGATTTTAATTTGAATAAATGGCGGGTTAGAAATAACGGGCGAAGAAAAAAAGAGCGAGAAAAAACGGGCGAAGGAAAAATAAAGCGCCGGCAACCGTCCTTAATAAAAATTAATTCCCCGTTCAGATTCTGATCATGAACGAAAAATACTGATTGGTCAAAATCTGGCTCAAGGTGTTCTCGCTTCCGATCCGTGCATTTTGAATAATACAAATGCCAAATGGCGACGACAAAAGAATGTTTATTGAACAAAGCGCTGTGAAGTGCTTCGTCCTTCTTCCTTCGCCCGTTTTTTCTTTGCCCATTTTTTCTAACCCGCCATTTATTCAAAAATCTTCAAAACCTTCAATAAAATAAAGCGACTTCTACGCAGGCTAAATTTTTTGCGAACCTTGGGGCAAAAATGATGCAAGGCTACCTTTTTGGGAGACCTATGTGCTAAGTAGGCATGCGTGTCATCTAAAAATGGGAATTTGAAATGGATTCATTAATATTGGTCCATTACTGCATTTTCCATTGCATGACAGCTAACCAGTAAGTAATAATGTGTTCACTTCTGCTTACTTTAGTCATTTGTATTTTGCCATAAGCATGCTTTGGAGTAGGTGGTGGAATGGGGATTCCAGGATCAGGAAGATATTTATTGACAATTTTCTTGATAGCATTATATTTCTTATTACTGACATTGGGATCCCCAGCTTCAGACAATGGTGCATCGTAGTCATAACTAGTAGTACATGGACGGTAGAAAGAGCTACCGAATGTTGCTCCTATACAAGTAAGACATTAAGAATTGGAAAAGCTCACAAACAAAACATCCTGACAAATTACATAACTAATCATAATCAATTAAAGGGCACTGGAACTAAAAAATTAATTTGTCTCATTTTAAAAAAACGTTTAAAATTATGTGTTAAGTCTTGTTGCAGATTTTTTATAATATCAATGTTAACTATTAGAATATTTTGACCGAAAGCAATGAGCTGTTCGTCACCGATGTTTAAAGTGTTTGTATTCCATTTGAAATTTGAAATAGCAACAAAGAACGAGCTTTGGGTTTATACTGATGACAGGCTGCCAAAATAAAAAATTGGGTGACCATGCATATCCTGAATAATCCAAGATGGCGGACAGCTGACTGTTTTCAGTCAAAATATTTCAAGAATTGAGTAAGATATGAAAATTTTGTAAAAACGTTTTATTAATTATTCTCAAAGCTCTTTCAAATGAGGCAAACTAAAATAATAACCAGGGAAACAATCAATTAACCAACTAACAAAAAAACCCCAGCCAATTAACCGGAAAACCAGCTACCCAAACTAACCAGCTATCAAACGAACAAAAAACGTACGAACTAACGTAATAATAGCCAACAAAACCAGATAAGTTTCAATTAACAAATCAACTAACTGATTATTGTACAACACAACTAGCTAACAAACTAAGCAGTAAAACTAACTAACGAATAAAGTGATCAACTATAGCAAAAAAAACCAACTAAAGAACACACCACTGTCTAGCTAACAATTGAAGTAACCAGCTGTCGATGGAAGTTGCAAAAAATCAACACACTATAACCACTGGACACACTAACCAAACACACAACTTACCAGAGATTAACTAACCATTAACCAAATAGCTAACCAATGAGCCAACTAACCAACAAACCATTACCAATGTATAAACTCACCAATCCATAAAACACGCAAAATAACTAGGGGAATAATTCTACACAGCAACACACAGAACTGGTCCACCAAGCAATCAATTAAGAATTTTAAAAATAATCAACTGATGAATCAGTCATAGACAGAAGCTTTGCAACGTTAACTAGTGAAAAACCTACCATTCATGTATCCAAAATTCGTCCCTCCTTCGAACATATACATGTTTACGGAAGCATTCAGAGCAAGGATTTTGTCCAGAGTATTAGCAACTGTAGTGGGATCAGTGGTCTGATGTCGAATACCCCACTGATCTAGCCAACCCGTGTAATATTCAGAATTCACTAACGGTCCATGGGCTTGAAATTTCCTTTGCACAGCAAATGCTTTTTCTGGATCTGTCCCTAAACACACAGAAATAAATTTCTGGGGTGAAAGTACAGAGGAGGGGGGAAGTGCGTAGCCCCTGAAATGATCAACAACTCGTCTTTCCCTTAAGAAGAAGTAAGCATTATGAAGTGAATACTGAAATGTTTAAAAAAGATCAAATAAACTTAATAAAGTAGAGTAACTAATCTCTTTTCATGATCACTAAGCCCATCTAACCTGGCCCAAAATCCACAGTACTAAAAAGGCTGGACAAGGTTCCACACTTTAGATCACTCTCAGCATCTCCATCCGTTGTAAATAAAATGACATCTTTCCCAAGATATGTTTCAAATAAACTTTGTAAATACTCCAGATACTTCTGATCACAAGTGAAGTAACTCCCATATTCATTTTCTACCTAGTGTTTATTAAAATAAAACGAAAAATACATTTGTGAAGATCGAATTTGGAGAAGTTGTGAGTAATATGACTCGAAACCTTCGCCGCCCTGTGTTTGATACTTAGACCATTTCCTAGACAGTAGTTTATTGACACCGTAACTTCAAATTCCCGTTCTTAATGGAGAGAGGTGGTTTATAAAATATAAATAATAAACTTCTTCCTTTAAATGGGGCTTATTCGGAGCCAGATAGAAGATTCATGGGACCTTGTGTATTATTGTATTTCGGTAAACTTACTGTAGCAAATACATTAATCGTTCTTATATATTATATAGTAAAGTATCACAAAATTAAGTCGTAGAGTTAAAAAGAAACAAAACTAGGTAGGCATCTCAGGCCCACAGGTTCAGCGGTCTGATTGCCAACCTCGTTCCCAGGCTCTTTAGCGTAGAGGAAAGAGCCCGTTTTCACGAGGTTGTCTGATTGCTTCATCTTTTACAGTCGACGATTTCTCATCGAACATCTTGACTTTCACCTGTTTTAATGAAAGGAGCTGATAGCTCATCTAGGGTGCTTACACTTAAATTACAAAAGCAAAACAAAAAGGCCAATAATACACTATATACAATTTGGAAAAAAAAAGGAACAATAACACACAATACAAGTGAAAATATATAAATTTAACTTGAGCAACATGTAGATCAGACAGAAGCGGCAGTAGATAACCCCTCCCCATATAGTACAGGAAGTAGTTCAACAGGATGACGCCATTGATTAGGGCTGACGTCATTGTTTGAGAATTTCCTTCAAATCCCCATTTCGCCCCTCCCATTTTTCCTCGCCTCGCCCCTCCCATTTTTCCTCGCCGCGTCCCTCCCATTCTTTCTCGCTCCCTTTCTCTCGCCTTTGCCTTCACTCCTAGCTTCTCCCACCCTCGCCCAACCCCCTAAAATAGCGCCTGCTACGCAGGCTAGTTTTTGTACAGCATCAGTTATGTGATCCTGAAGTATAATACTGCTGCTCCCTTTCACGTGCATCCACAGTAGCTGAGTACGCAATTGTCTTAAGATCCAGAGTATCTGCCAAAAATCCATAATCCAATGCTTTCATTTGATTATGAAATACAAAACATTGCAAAATAATATTTTAGTCTGTCAAATGCCAGATGATTTTACATGTCAGCACTTAAAATAGACAAATTGCAAGTTAATAGGAAAAGTGTCTCTTGTTAACCCATTTGTTAGCAATCAGCATACATGATGAATTGCACTGTTTTTGTATGATTATGACGAATTGTGCAGAACCATGCAGATAAACTCACCAGTTTTTACGGAATCATTTACGCAATGTTTATAAAGGGTGTACTTTAAAAACAACATAGAATTTTGCATTTGCAAATTATCTGCAATTAGGTGCTTATGTTTCTAGTAGGATGGAAGAGATCTATTCTAAAAGACCACACGAGTCAGAACACGAGTGAACACGAGACAACACGAGTTAAAAATGACGAACACGAGTGAACACGAGTCAAAAATGACGAACACGAGTGAACACGAGTCAAAAATGACGAACAAGAGTGAACACGAGTCAAAAACTGACGAACACGAGTGAACACGAGTCAAAAATGACGAACACGAGTGAACACGAGTCAAAAATGACGAACACGAGTCAAAAATCTGTGAACAAGAGTCAAAAACGCATTCTTAAAGAGGCTCCTTACAGTTTTAAGCCCGTGATGAAGGCCGGTCTGTACTGTGTAATTGCACGCGGGATAGTCAGGATTCTTGGCGGCCCACAGGATGTTGGATTAATAATAATA